CAAACACACACACATACACAAAACCACTATATATATATATATATATTTATTTCTGGTCTTTAAAAAAATGAAAAAAAATAATAATAAAACCAAACTTTATAATAACTTTATTATAAATTATTACGAGTAATATACATATATTTTGTTGTTCTTTAAAAAAAATCCAAAAAAAATACTTATTGGGGGGTTGGAATTGAAAATATTTTACTTAAAAATATATATACTTATAAACTTTTTTAAAAAAAAAATAATATTTAATTTACAAATATTTAAAATTCTTTAAATTTTTATACATAAAAACACTCTTTCTTAAAACTCTCACTTTTTTTGGGAATTTACTTGAAAGAGATTAAGTGGGAGTAATAGAAAGAGAAGTATTATTAAAAGTGTAAGAGAAAGTTAATAAAATTTAAATTGATTTTGTATAAAATATTAAGAAAAATTAAGAAAAAATATTACAAATAAAAAGTTTAGCTTAAAATTAAACTCTATGAAAGAGTTAAGAAACGGATAAAGATCACTTGGAAAGTTTTTTAATTAATTATTAAAACAAATTTTTAAATTTGTGTTTTTTTAAACTTTTGGAACTTGTCTACTTAATGAAGTTTTTTAATTAAAATTAATAAATTATTTATTAAAATTCTATCAAGACATCATTTCTAACAATTGTTTCAAATTTTCTAGTCTCACTGACTTTGAAATTCGCTTTTATATCCAAAATTTAATAAAAAAAGCTTTTACAAAAGTTCAGCTATGAACTTTTTATAATTTTTTTAAAAACTTTCTAATATTGATTAACATTTTTCAATGTCTTAATTAATTTTTAAATTAAATTGGCATTTTTAAACAAAAACTTTGAAAAGTAGTAAAATGTTACTGACAACATGTTGCTAAACACGTTTTCATAATATTTAAAGGTATAATTTTGCGTTTCTTTAGAAAAAGTCTGAAAAAAGTTATAAATTAGTTAATATAACTGTTGTTAGCTAACGACAACATGTTGCTAAACAAATTCCAGATAAACAGTTGAACTTGTCAGTGTTTTAGATACAAAGGGAAGGAATAATTTACACTCTAGTCTACTTAATAGTAGCAAGCTATTGGCAACATATTGCTCAACATTTCATGAAACAAGAAAACATTGCTATTCACAATGTATAGCTAAACATTTCTTTAGACAAAGTCTTAAAAAAGTAGTAAAGTAGTTAATATAACTGTTACAAGCTATTGGCAACATGTTGCTAAACAATTTCCAGATAACCAAGTTGAATATTTAAATGGAATTTTTCAGTTCAACATTTCATTTCAACTTTATAGTATCTGACTATATGACAATATGTTGCTAAATATCTGCACATGTATTCATTTAAATTAACAAACTAATTACGTAATTCTTGTTTTATTCTTTGTTGCAAGTAGTTGTCAACTTGTTGCTGAACGTAAAAATATGCAAAACATTGCTGTTTGTTAGGGTCAAGTTTTTATAAATTTGTTTTTAGTATAAATTAACAGTTTTTATGATAAATTATCAATAAATATTGTAAAAAAGTTTGTATAAAAGTTGACACTAATTCCAACATGTTGCTAAAGATGTTTCTTCAGACAAAATTCGCAACGACATAGTAAAAGTGTTCTATTCATTATAGGCAACACATTCTCATTACTCTCTTAGCTATTGACAACATATTGCCAAACTTTTTGTAGGAAAAAAATATTTATAGGTCTTTTAATCCTTTATTAATAAAACTTTAGTAACTAGTAAAACAGATCTTTTGATTGTTGCGAACTATTGGCAAGTTGTTGCTCAACATTTCAACAGGCAATAGCCTAAATAACCTAAATATATATTAAAGTTATTTTAAACATGTTGATAAACATTTCGTTAGACATTTCTTCAGACAAATAAAATGTAAGAATATAAGAAAACAGTTCTTTTGAATGTTGCAGAAAATTGGCAACTTATTGCTAAATATATACTAAGACTAAAAAGTACTTTTAATTCTTTAAAGTTATTGGAAACATTTAGAAAATTAAATTGTAAGAATAAAGTAAAATAGTTCGTTTTATTGTTTCCAGCTATTGGCAACTTGTTGCTAAACATTTCACAAGATACGAAACTTAAATAAAACCTTTTAATTCGTTAAAAGTTTTTGCAAATATATGGATAAACATTTTTTATACAGATAAAAACTAAATTTTCATGTTTCGTAGTATTGAAAACTTGTTGCTAAACATTTCACAGGACCAGTAACCTAAGTAGTCCCTTTAATCCTTTAACATTATTGGAAACTTGTTGATCAACATTTCGTTAGCTTTTTCTTAGACAAGAGTAGTTTTATAATAGTAAAATAATGCTTTTGATTATTGCAAACTATTGGCAACTTGTTGCTAAACATATTTAAAGACTAAGATAAATCTAAATGGTTCTTTTAAAACGTTAAATTTATTGCAAACCATTTAAAAGACATTATATTTAAAAAAAATTAATTTAGACAAAAGTTGGTATTTGATACCACTTAGCAACTTGTTGCAAAACATTACGAAAGACAAGAACCTAAACTTTTAAATTATTAATGTCATTGCTTTTTTGCAAACATTTCTTTATACAAAAACTTTAAAAACAAGAAAAATAATACTTTCAAATACTACAAGCTGTTCTCAACATATTGCGGCAACATTTCTTTTTTAACTTTCCAAGACTTGCTCTTTCCTTTTTGGCAACTAAATCTATTAAAAAAAAAACACCTTAATTGAGTTAAATAACTTTGACATATATTTTTTCTATTATATATTTTCTATATTTGTATATTAAATAATATTTTTTCTACTAATGTATACCAAGGAATATGGTTTTTATAGAAAAAAGAGCCACAAATAATTTTGCATAAACTAAAGAGAAATTTTGGAATTTTTTTTTTTTACAGACTTTAAAGAAAAATATCTAAAATTTCTTTTTGGTAAACAACAATTAAAAAAAAATAATTTTTTTTATAAAGAAAACGAAAAAAGTTTTAAATATAATATATAAAACAAAAGAAATATTTTTCAAATTTAAAATATTTATTAAAAGATAAAGAAAAGAAACAAAACATCACATGCCAGGGTGACATAAAATAATTAAAAAATAAAATGTTAAAACTTGTTTTAAAAGAAAATAACCTAAAAATGGAAATATAACTCAAAGCAGTGATTCAGTAACGAGAAAGGAAAAACATAAATTAATAATGAATAAAACTTAAAAAACTTGTTGAAATCCTGATTTAAAAACAGGGACTTCGATTTTCTAGGAATTTTTAACTTTTTGTTTGAAAAACTTTTAAAATATTTTAAAACCGAGAGATTTTTGTATAAAATTTTAAGAATTTGGTTTTTTGTTTGTGATTTTCATAAAAATTTTCCAAATTAAGTTATTGCTCCTGTTTCTAAATTTGTTTTTTGAAAACTTAATGAGTTTCTAAAACGGGTTACTGAATCTGCACCGTAAAACATAAAAACTCTAGATGTATTTATTTCAAATGATAAATTCTCTTTGAAAAACAATCATTTATTTAAATACGTTTTGAATTTAAAAATTAAAATATTTTAAACAATTTTTTGCTAATATTTAACTTTAATACTTTGTTTAGTTTCGAAATCCAAAAGAAGAAAGCACAAAATTAGGATCGTTACCTGCAAAATGACTTTCAAAATCACATTTCCAATTTACTAGCATTGAAGTTATAAGAAAATAGTCTATACAATAGACTAGTCTGGTCTAAAGTCAAGTCTATAGTCTAGTTTACTGTAAAAGTAAAGTCAAGTCTTTAGTCTGATCTATAGTCTAGTCTGATTTAAAGTATAATCTATAGACCCTATAGATCTATAGTCTAGTCTACAGTCTAGTCTAGTCTACAGTCTAGTCTATAGTCTAATCTACAGTCTAGTCTATTATCTAGTCTATAGTCTAATCTGTAGTCTAGTATAAACGCTAGTCTATGGTCTAGTCTAAAGTCTAATCTATAGTCTCGTCTATAGTGCAATCTATAGTCTAGTTTACACTATATCCGATAGTCTAGTCTAAAGTAGAATCTCTTGTCTGGCCTATAGTCTAGTATAGACGCTAGTCTATGGTGTAAAGACTAATCTATAGTCTAGTCTATAATCTGGTCTATAGTACAATCTATAGTCTAGTTTATACTATATCCGATAGTCTGGTCTATAGTCTTGTTTGAAGTAAAGTCTATTGTCTGGCCTATAGTCTAGTATAAGCACTAGGCTATGATATAGTCTAATCTATAGTTTAATCTACAGTCTAGTATAAAGCCTAGTCTATAGTCTAGTTTAAAGCCTAGTCTATAGTCTGATCTATAGTATAATCTATATGTAGTTTAGTCTAGTCTATTGACTGGTCTATAGTCTTGTATAAACCCTAGTCTATAGTCTAGTCAAAAGTCTAACATATAGTTTCATCTATAGTCAGTTCAATAGTATAGTCTAGTCTATAGTCTAATCTATAATCTAATCTATAGTTTAATCTATAGTCTAATCTATAGTCTTGACTATAGATCAGTCTATAGTCTTGACTATAGATCAGTCTATAGTCTTGACTATAAATCAGACTATAGTCTTGATTATAGATCAGTCTATAGTCATAACTATAGATCAGTCTACAGTCTTGACGATAGATCAGTCTATATATAGTCTTGACTATAGATCAGTCTATAGTTTTGTATAAACCCTAGCCTATAGTCTAGTCAAAAGTCTAAGATATAGTTTGATCTATAGTCTGTCCTACAGTATAGTCTATAGTCTAGTCTATAGTCTAATCTATAGTTTAATCTATAGTCTAAATACTAGTCTTTAGTCTGTTCTATAGTATAGTCTATAGTCTGTTCTATAGTCTGGCCTATAGTCTAGTCTGCAGTCTGGTTTACAGTATAATCTATAGTCTATTCTATAGTCTGGTCTTGAATTCTAGTCTATAGTCTAGTTTATTGTCTGGTCTATAGTTTAATCGGTAC